GCAAAGGCTGGGTTCCTTATAAGTTGAGGTAGTCCAGTTCCTTGTGTATGCCGAAAGTTTAGGCTGACCAGTCATAACATGAGTTGTTATGCCAGGTCATACGCCTTACGTCAATTGTTTAGGCAGAAGCTGACCACACCATAAGTTGGTGTGACTCGGTCTTATGCTTTATTGTTCCAGTCGAGACTATTTACACCACAAGTTGGTGTGGTCAAGTCATGAGTCGTCATCATTAAAGCGAATCAGAGTATATAATGTGATACAATTGCCTATTATGAATATTCGTGGTAGGTTGGGCGCCATGAGTTGGGAGATCCAGCCATTTTAGCAGGTAGCAGACAAAGCAGAGGGGAAAGAAGATTGAGAGTATAAAATGGTGTGATAACTTTGGGCAGGCTAACTCATCCATAAGTTGGGTAGTGAGTCCTATGTCCTTGATAACACAAAGCAGAGAATTATATAAAGCTTGGATATTTTCCACTTTCTAAACATAATTGGCATCTGGGTGGGGGTCCTCATGAGTTGAGATAACCTGACCACTCGTCTGAAGGAAGAAATTGGTTGTGAAACTTATTTATCTGATGTAGTTGTGTTGCGGAGGCCAAACGAACGCATAAGTTGCGGGTTGTTCGGTCATACGCGCTTGTTATTGTTTTAGGCAGGGCTAGACTATCCATAAGTTGGGTAGCCTAGTCATATGCTATATGTCACTGTATGGGCTGGCCAGGCACAACATAAGTTGTTGTGTCTGGTCATATGTCTTTTGTCGTTGTTCAGGCGAAGGCTGAGTCCCTCATAAGTTGAGGTGGTTCAGTCTTTTGTTTATGCCGAGTGTTTAGGTTGATCAGGTCTCACCATGAGTTGGTGCGCCCTGGTTATACACCTTATGTCATTTGTTCAGACAGAGGCTTATCACAACATAAGTTGTTGTGGTAAGTTCTAGGTCTTATGGCCATAAAGTTGAACATGGTTGTATTGCGAAGGGCTGGGCGAATGCATAAGTTGCGGGTTGTTCAGTCGTTCGCGCAATTGGCTTTGTCTAGGCTGGGTTGGACTATCCATAAGTTGGGTAGCCTGGCTCTACGCCGTATGTAACTGTGTGGGCTGACCGGGCACAACATAAGTTGTTGTGTCCAGTCATATGCCCTTTGTCGTTGGTTAGGCAGAGGCTGACCCCCATAAGTTGGGAGGTTCAGTTTTATGTGTATGCCGAATGTTCAGGTTGACCATCCTCACCATGAGTTGGTGCGGCCCGATCACACGCCTTATGTCGGTTGTTTTGCAGAAACTGGTCACACCATAAGTTGGTGTGGTTTGGTCTTATGCGTACGTATATTTGTGTTACCAGGCTAGGGCACCATAAGTTGGTGTGGCCCAGTCATATAAACTAGCAGGTCAGTCACATCCATAAGTTTGGTTGGCTGACCCTATGTCTTATGTAAGGAAGGATAAAAAGCGAATAGTGAGGGATTTTGAACGAACTATGTGGCCTGGAAAATAACCATGTGGGATTGTGAGAGAGATTTGCGCTTGCATGCTCGTGGGCTCTCACTTGGGACATCTTTTGATAGAGTAGTTGTTGTAGATGCTCGCCGAGTGCTGGAGCCATAGGTAGATAAGATGAATGATGGGAGGGAAGCTTCGGATGAGATAGGACTGACTCTGCTGAGGGTTGGGATCAGCGTTGGCTCGTGGCCTCATTAAGAGGACATGTGGACCAATATTGAGCCTAATTTGTTAAGCAGGGATCAGGAGTTAGCCCCAAGTATAGTTTTGCTTTGCACTTTGACCTTCAGTTTTGTATAAATCTTGGCAGCCTACTTTTCCTACGGGAAGCACTGCCAAAATTTCTGCAAAACTGAAAAGAGTTAATCATATTCAAGTTCCTCGAAATTATGAAAAGGCACTTTTCCTACGGGAAGCGCTGCCGAAATTTTGAAAAATTTGGAGAGTAAGAATATTTTCAGTTAGACTAATCTTAGCAACTCAACCCTGAGTAGGCGAGGTATTATTAAACCTCTCAGAAGTTGAGTAGGAGCTTAGTAGAGGAGTAAGGATTGACTTAGGAGGATTACTTTCTACTTAGGCTAAACGCTGTAGTGAAATCTTTTTGACCTGTGTTGTGGTGCAGGTCGTGCGCATTGATTGAAGGTCTGACTTGGTCAACCTGACTATTCTTTTGTTATCACTGATAACAGGTCGGTTGCCGATTCATCGGTGCACGACTCAACCTCTCATCCTCTTCTGCCTCTCAACCTAATGCCTTGGCCCTGACTGGTTTYATGCYTTCTTGGGTTTTCACCCAGATTCTTTGTAAATKGYCATTTTATTAAAAGACTGAGTATCTTTGTTTGGAATGKTGSGGAAAAGGTTGGGCTTGTGTGCATAAGGCAGGGTGTGAGTTGCAGAAAGCTGAAAAATTGATCCTTTTAGTGTGTGTTCTGTTGTTTGATCCTTGTGTGTGTTCACAAGTATGTGTGAAACATGTTGAATGATTGTGGTATTCTGGCTGTATTGAGTTCAGGCGGGCAAGCCACATAGCTATTGTGAGACTGTATCATCACTTAACTCTTCGTCTGACTCAGTGTTATGGCATTTGAGTATGTCTCTCGTGTAGCCCTCACACGGCTGCACGAGCACATACTTATGCCTTCTATATTCTTGTGTGATTTCAATTGGTGGGACGATAAGGGTCCAACCGTGAGCCAAAATATCACGAAAACGACGTGTAAAAAATGTCATAAGGTCGGTCCGCCCTATGGGAACCCCGCGCTCGAGCGAGGAAAATGTTCCGAGCGTTGGGCTGCCTACAGGGCTTGACCTGAACACTATCCACATGCCACCCCGTAAACGATTCGTATAGGTGGTGCGCGGTGAGTCATGGGCCAATGCGAAATAGGAAAAAGGCATAACCTTTCTCCCCATTTTCACGTTGGCCCCACTTACTTGTTAAGATGAAAAGTCGGACGTATTCTTGGGCCAGGGGTTCGAGGTCCTTGTCGGGAAGAACCCAAAGTCCAACCCTCTAGCAAGGGATTTTTGCCTGCACACAGGGCATAAAAACCCTGCCCACCGGACCGCCTAGCTTCAARGGTAGGGGTRCCGCAAGGGCTGAACGGCGTGTCCTTCAAGCCGTTCAATATTGCGAGGGGCGAAYCCCCACAATATATTCCTTCAGCCATTCAGTATCGCGAGGATATTTCAGCGACCGCTTGAGTGAGACAACATTGCTGGTYGGTATGGGAAGGTCGAGGACCCGCAYGGATTATATCGAATCCGGCACGCGGTGCCAAGCGGATTCTCACACCGAACAGTTTATGGATCTGGCACTGAACGTAGAATCGCRATACGGTCGGCGTTGCSGAGATRCGCGGAAGGGCCTCGCGCCCGAGCATAYGACGCATTGAGCGTCGGCTCGCTCAAGGGCTTGAGTCAAACCTTAGGAACACGCAGCTCCRTAGCAACTYACCACATCGCATCGAGAAAGCCATCGGGGAGRCRTAGGGGYTCAATATGGGTTAGACTAGGTCGACGCCTTTATATCGAGCYTTGTCCTCTTTTTATTWTCTTATGGTTGGACGTTGCAGTCCGTGGCAGCCGTCAAAGTCAAACCCCTTGACTTCTGCCACCACAGGCGTGAAACCTGTGTACCACCCACTCTGCACAGGGTGCAGAAGAGGGTGTGTGGTCCTCAACTGCGCATGGAGGTTGTCTAGCGCAGAGAGATTAACCCTTGAAGCGCTTGTCAGCCGACACTTGAGTGTCGAAAGGGACCCTCAAAATCCCTGAGGGCCTCCTGCACCTGGGTACCACATAGTACCCCATTATTGCAAACACTTGTAAGCACACGCATGACTGGCTGATATGAGAAATCCGTGCGATCGCGCGATTCTTTATACTAAATCAGCATGCGACGCCTACCTAATCTTTGTACCTAAAGGTTATGGGTCCAGTACTAAAGGGAATGGGAGTGTTGTGTTTTTCTTTTGCTTTGGCGCATGAGTGTGTGAACGAGGGTTACTTAAATTTTGCTTTAAGTGGTGTATCGCGTGGTGTGCGTAGAGCGTCCTAGTCGACCGACGTCAAGTCGAGCTTGGGACCTCAGCCCCCAAGTGTCGTCGATTTGCGTACGGGTCCGATTTCGGGCGTTGACCGTGCGTACTCTATGCTACAGCGAACGAGAAACGCCCTCGGCTGGGCTACCTCTGCAATTGCATTATAAAAGCCTTCGCATGTGGTTCAGTAGCTCGACAGGGATACGCCCACCTAAGGGATGGTGACAGCTCCCGCAGGTGGAGGTAGCGGTGCCTCGCGTGACTCTGTCCTGTCGTAGGGACTCGCGAGGGGTACAGTTGGCGCACTCGGCCGGAGCGACAAACGCTCTCGCAATAAGTCCTGCATAATCCTGCGTGACACGGCCGGGAGGGTCCCCGTGCGGGACCGATGCGCTCGACAGGTGGCGCCGTTGCCGGGGAATCTCGGCTGCCTACCGGGGTCCTTATGAGAACGAACTGAGGTTAAGTGCAGGCTGATGATCCAGGCAAAACGACAACCTTCGATGGAAAGATTTTTCTCCTTGATGATGATTCGAGTATGGTGGCTTTCTCAATGACACGTCAGATCTGTCTGCCTTGATTGTGAGTAAGGTCGGAAGTGTGCATTGTGTGTATCCGTTTCAGCGGTAGGGTCAGAGTAATAATATAGACCTGATAGGTTACTTTAGTTATTAAAGACAGTAGTTGAATGATGAAAGTAGGCAAGTTAGAGACTTAACGGTCGATTGTTTTTTTAAAACCTTTCGTCCCTCAACAGGTGTTTGAGAAAATGTAAAGATGGCGGACGCCGACGGAATCGAGTGGGGCCCGGGTGCTACACCTGAGGACTTCGTCAAGGCATTGGAAAAAAGAGAGATGGCACGGCTTCAGGTGCCCAAGGTTAACATTTTTCACTTCAACGGGGGTAGAGTGTCCGAGTGGCTTGAGTTGCCGGAGCGGGTCACTAGCGAGGCGTCAGAAGCAGACAAATTCAAGCTGATGCCTAGGTATGTATGGTGGGAGCTTAGACCTGAGGTAATGAAGGTAGCGGCCGACGCAAATGGTGAGTGGGCAAAGTTTAAAGAGGAGATGCAGAGACGTTTCAAGTTAGGTGACGGCGTGCTCACCAAAGAAGACCTGGAAATGTTGAGACGTGATGAGTTCTCCACAGTGGGGGCCTTCGCCACGGCATTTGAGAAAATGGCAAAGAAAGTCCCAGGGTTGGCAGAAGAGGAGCAGTGTGCCACTTTCCTAGGGCACTTCAAGAACTGGGAGGGCTCGTCGCTAACTAAGAAGGTTGCGTCAGGAAAGAAGCGCACATGGGCTGCCATAAAGGAAGGCGTAATGGACGGAGAACTGGACCAGGTAGACATCTTCCAGATGAGGCAGGCTAGGAAGAAAAGGAAGGCCTTAGACGCTACGACGAGTGATGGGCGCGACTTCAAGAAAATTGTGGAGGATGCGGTGGCCCAACTCGATGCAGCGAAGGAGGCAAGAAGAAAAACCATGGCAGCGCCACAGACCGTAGGGAAAGTGAAAAAGGCAGTAGTGCAGGAAGAAGAAGAAGAGGAAGAAGAAGAGGAGCCTTAGCCGCAGAAGCTGACAAAGGCTCAAAGGAAAGCAAGGAATTTGGCTCAAGGAGGGCAAGGCTCAGAGAGGGGCCAGGTTTCACAAGCTGTAGCCATGCCGCCCCCTGAGTCACCTAGTCAAGCCGCACCAGCACACTATGGGCCGTGGCCAGGTTGTGGACCACCAAGCCACTGACATGGACATTGCTCATACGCAATGGTCACAGAGTGGGCTGCATGGGTCGTGTGCCGGACCACCGATGAGCATGGCTTCCTGCGGCTGCCCGGGGCCCCAAGCTCAGCAAGTAAGTCACCCAGACCCACCGCCAACCCAACCCCAGCAGTCAGCCCTACAAAGGTCGCAAGGCAATCAAGGCGGTGGACGAGGACAAAATCAAGGGTGGGGCCGGGGACGAGGGAATGGTGGTCGGGGAAGAAACGGCAGAGGGAATGGTGGTGGTAACGCTGCAGGCGGGGGAAGCGAGGGTTGGACAACATCCGGGAGTCAAGGTGGCCAGGAAGGTGGAAGAGCTGCTGGCAGGGGGAGAATAGATTGGAGGAACGCCATTTGTTGGCACTGCGGGCAGAAAGGTCACACTAACAAGTTCTGCCATGTCCGGAGAAACGATGAAGACGAAGGTCTAATCAGCACCAAACTATGATGGGGATATGTACAACAAGTGGGGGTACCACCTTGATCCAAGGACCCCAGGCGGGACAAGGAAGGAGGCCCTACGACGAGCCGAGGCAGGTGAACCACCCGCTCCTCCAGCCATGTTTCGGATATGGCAGGAGAAAGGGGTCAGCAGTGACAACAAGGTTGAAAGAACGAAGAGGTGGAGCGAGAGCGGAAAGTCGGCACTACTAAGGCTGAGCCCATCATAGTAGAGTCGGACGATGAGATTGAAGAGGATTACTGGAACAGGCCGTTGCACGTTGAGACAGGGGAAGACTATTGKAGAACGGMCCGACAGACGATGGAGAATATGRAYGACTTAATGGATAAAATTCGAAGGTACCAGGGAAAGCTGGTAGATTTATGCGAAGAGGTTAAGGAGTGGCAAGGGCAGAGGCCACAAGTCTTCATGTATGGGTCAGGCCCAAAATCGCAGGGGGCGACTGCGAGCATTCCGAACGTATCGGTCACAGGGGGGACTCCCAGATCAGGGATGAGCTTTAGGCCGCCTTCACGATCTGGGAGGGCCGCTCAGGCGATCAGGACGAGAGCTCGAGGGCCAGCGAATCCGGAACCGCCGGCTAAGGATATTCCCGGGTCGAGCGGGGAGAAGGAAGTTGTAGAACCTTCCGTGAATGAGGAGGAGGAGGATAACCGCCTAAGGAACGAGGAGGATGAAAAGGTGGAGCAAAGAGCCAAGAAGAGGGGCGTTAAGGCCGATACGGAAAAGGCCCCAGAGCAGAAAAAGAAGAAGTACACAGTTAGGGTGGAGGAAGGATTCGACGTGGAAGAGATTATGGACCGAATCCTTGAAGGACATAACCACCTCATGAACTTGAAAGATGTCTTGGCATCAGCGCCGAGACTGTGAGAAGAGCTCAAGGCACGTTTGTGCAGGAAGATGGTGGCTAGCATACGGTTAGGGGCCATAATCCCTAAGGAAGCTGAGTGGTCGGAGACCGGTACGAAAATGGACTGGAAGTCTGTGGCGTGCGGGTGTTTTGATGTTGTTGTAAAGGGAAAAGCATGCACGACAATGGTGGATACAGGCGCAGAAATGAACCTCATCAAGGAGGAGGATGCCCTGCGCCTAGGGATGGAGATAGACCACTCCGACAATGGTATTTTAGTAGGAGCAAATAGTCGGTCCATTTTTGTGGGGAGCGCATCCAAGGTGGTGCTGGAGATCGGGAAGGTAAAAGTGAGGAGTTGCTTCTTCGTAATGCCCGACCTCGATCACCCTATTCTTCTGGGGCGATCATTTTTTAGCAGAACATAGACCGTCATCCTGAATAAGCATGACGGAACTATGTTCCTGGTCATGTGCGATCCTGTGTGTGGCAACTATGAGGTTGTCACGTGCCAGAACACAGGACCAAGGAGTATTAGGAATCGACCTAGCGCTGACTCTTTTACAACTGAGGAGTCAGAAGAAGAGAGAAAAAGGCTAAGGGGAGTCGACAGTGAAGAAGAAAGACGGCCAGAAGCAATGACCCTTAGCTTGGCGAGCATAGGTGACGCTATGGATATAGTGTCGACCTATGGGATGGCAGACTCTGTGGCCGTGGAGACCTTGAGGGAGAAACTGGTGGAACAAATGGGAGTTGGAGAGATGGAACTGGTATACCGGGTACCAGGAGGGACCGGCGGAATGGTGGGATCCCTACCTCGAATTGCAACTCGGCCTTTTTTAGAGGTGGGCTCAAGCAGGGTTCACAAAGGCGGTACGAAAGGGTAGATCAAAAGTGTCGCCCTGTCCGGTGCTCGTAGCTGAAGAAAAAGAGGTGTACTACGAGCGGGAGAGAGAATTGATACGGCAAATGCGAGAGGATGCTGCAAACATGCCGTGTCGTATCAATCCGGAGACCGAGAAGGCGTTGATTATAGGGGAGTCTGGCTTCCTTATAGCGCAGGAAGAGAAACTTATGGTGGAAACCATAAGAGGAAGGCATACTGCATATGCCTTCAATGATGATGAGAGAGGATGCCTGGATGTGGATAAAATTCTCATGATTAAGATACATACTATGTCGTATGAGCCGTGGAATTTGCGGGGCGCACGCTATCCTAATCCTGCTGACGAAGAGAAGGTAGTTGACTACCTCGATGGGAAGATCCGTACACATGTGGCAGACTACTCAAGCGGACCATATGCATCCCCATGGTTTTGTTTTATTAAACCAAATGGGACGTTGAGGTGGGTACAAGATTTACAGCGCCTGAATGCTGTGACTGTTAGAGATGCACGTGGCCTCCCTAACGCAGATGCGCTTTCAGAGGCATGCGCTGGGAGGGCTATAATATCTCTGATAGACTTGTATTCTGGTTATGACCAGTTTCCTGTCTACCYATCTGACAGGCCGATGAYGGCGATGCATACCCCACGAGGGCTRATCCACATGAATGTCGCACCGCAGGGGTGGACAAATGCGGTTGCTATGGTCCAGAGGCATATGRTGAGAGCRWTGCAGCCAGTAAGCCCTCACATCACGCAGCCCTATATCGATGATTTGGCCGTGAAAGGGTCGAAGGTAAAGGATGAGCAGGAGGTAATGCCGGGAATCAGGCGGTTTGTTTGAGATCATGTGCAGGACTTGTGTCAAGTCCTGGACTTGCTACAAGAGCATAACCTTACTGCAAGTGGGCCGAAATCCAAGCACTGTATGCGAGCAGCGACTATCTTAGGATTTGTGTGCGACGAGAAGGGTCGTCGGCCAGATACTAAAAAAACCAATAAGATTCTCGAATGGCCAACCCCATTCGAGACGATTACTGAGGTGAGAAGCTTCCTCGGAACGTGTGGATTTTGGAGAATATTTATAAAAGGGTTTGCGACGAAGACGGAGCACCTGCGAAAGCTCGTGCGCCAAGGACAAGATTGAGAGTGGGGAGATAGACAAGAGTCTATGATAAAAGACCTGAAGAAGGAGTTTGAAGAAGGAGGACTGGTATTGGGAGTGCCAGACCATGTGGCCGTTATGACCAGACCCTTTATCATAGAGACAGATGCAGGACCGACTGCTTTGGGAGGAGTGTTGATCCAGAAAGACCTCAATGGAGAGAAGCGACCGCTAAGATTCGAGAGTCGAACGCTTAATACGGGTGAGAGAAACTACTCTCAGTTCAAGCGTGAAACATTGGCAGTCCTCCACTGCTTGAGAATTTTCAGAAACTACCTCTTTGGCAGCAGGTTCGTGTTGAGGGTGGACCCAACCGCTCTAGCTGGTTCGCTGAAGAACTACGCTCCCTCATATCCAACCATTGCCAGATGGCTAACATACATCTGGATGATTGATTTTGAGCTGGAGCGGATTCCAGGGAACAAAAATAGGGCGGATGGGTTAAGTCGAGTCGACTGGGGCAAAAACAGCGAAGGAGTGATCCAGGATACTCCCCCAGTCGACGGGTTTTTGGACAAAGAGGAGGATGTGAGACTTTACATCAACTCTTGGTCTTTGGCGGTAGGTAACTACATTACTCCTGGACGTTCGGTGTGGCTGACACCTCCAGGGTATGCATGCTTGCCAAACTTAGTCCTTAAACCCTATGTGGACGAGGACCCATGGGGACTGCCGAATGTGCAGTGGATGATGGATCTGGCCTTGGCAGACAAAGTTGGGTGAGGATCTGATCACGATGGAGGATGGAGCCCGGCAGGTGGAGGATCATGAAAGGTCTGTAGGAGGGGTTTATCTCCTGGCCAATGCCTTGTTGCAGGCGGAAGTGGCCAGAAACGCTGGGCAGGATCAGGAAAGGGGTGAGAATGTGATCTATGAGGGGGAGGACGATGATTTCGAAGAAGGCGAGATTAAGGAGGCTTTTCGAGCAGAAGAGTATGATGGGGTTTATCTTGAACTCGGAACGCTTCTTTCGTGCGAAATGAGAGAAAGAGATGTCAGCGAGAAAGTCTTGAAGATGAGACTGAGCTTTCTGGTAAGGGATGGGCACCTGTTCATGAAGAGCAAGGGGAGGAATCCCAGGAGGCTAGTCTGTGGCATCGATCGTCAGATCGATGTCATGGCCGCCCTGCACGACGGCACAGCTGGAGGGCACAGGAGTACTGACACAACGTATCTCAAGATACACGAATTGTACTATTGGGATGGCATGGGGAAAATGATTAATGATTATTGCAAATCTTGCGTCCCATGTCAGGAGCGATCTTCCCTTAGGCCAAGGGAGCCGCTTCACCCGAGATACATTCGTGAGGTTGGAGCCGTCGTACATCTGGACCTGCTAGTAATGTCGTTGGGGATGGGGGGGTTTGATGCATGCGATAACCTCTCCGGGTTTGTGGACGGAAGGGCTATTCGCACCAAGACTGGCGAGACGCTAGCGCGATGCATCGAGGAATATTACCTCCGATATCCCTTTGTCTCCAGATTTGTCATGGGCAGGGGGTCTGAATTCACCAGTGCAGAGGTAAAAGCACTCTTGAAGAGGTACGGGGTGATTGCTGAGTATACTACTGCAGCACACCCTCAAGCAAATGCACTGGTGGAGAGAGGGCACAACACCATCTCGAACCTTCTGGCAAAATGGACCAGTGGGAGGCCAAATCAGTGGCCTGGTTTTTTTAGAGTGTTTTTTTTTGTAGACAACATCACTGTGAGGAGGAGCACCGGTTATGCGCCAGCCACGCTATGGCATGGCAGGCATACAACGTTCCCTATCGAGAGCTTCCTGAAGACATGGAGGTGGCAGGACCTCGAGTCAGAGTTGACGTTCGAGGAACTGCTCGATCTAAGGGCGCGTTAGATCGGAGCCATAGAAGACAGGATTGAAGGAGCAGCCAGTAAGGTGGCATATAACCGGGCACAGGATAAGTTCAGGTGGGACAAGATGGCAAGACTGAGGAAGGAGCCACTCAGAGTGGGAGACACGATGCTGTTGTACGACTCATCTTTGGAGAAACAATGGTCACGGAAGTTTGATAAGTGGTGGTTGGGACCGTACAAGGTGGCAAGAGTTGGAGAGTATGGCGCGTACCAGATTGAGAAAATAGATGGAACAGCCTGGAGAGATTGGGTGTCAGGCTCGAGGCTGAAGAAGTTTGTTGCTCGAGATGAGGTGAGCCTAAATCTCACAGGCTAGAAGTCCCTTCCTGCTAAGTTTTTTTTGCTTAGTAGAAATATTAGTTAGGTTGTATAGATAGTCATTAGGATGGCATGGCAGACTATAGAATTGGAATAGGTATTTATGTGTATGTATGCATATACGGATGGATAGGTTAGATGGGATGGGATGTGTATGTCTCTCACTGTGTTGCCAAAACCTACTTACCCTCTGTATGCTTTTGCTTGTCCCTTCCTTGTTGTGCAGGCTTGACACCATTTTGGCGTAGCCATGCCAAGAGGGAAAGGAGGGGCAGGGTCAGTGGAACCCCATCAGGGGGCAGCCAGACAGAGAGTGCAGGGATGGACCAGGAGAGAAGACAGGCCACCCGGCTTCACAGGAGGGAACGTCGAACTATTTCTGATCGAGTTCCAACGGCACGCGAGCGAGTTTGGATGGAATGGAGCTAGGATGTTGCGAGAGGTACGCGGAGAAGGCGAGTGGGATGAGCTCATTGCCAGATATGTACGGGAGTCAGCGACCTAGCAAGAGTTTGAGAGAAGGATGGAGGGATTGCACCCATCGCCCGTGGGGAAAGATGGAGTACCGATCCGATTTGATGGGACAAATTGGATGAGTTATTGTGGGCTTATGACCGGTTTGCGGACGAGCAGAACATTGTACCTGAGACCAGAGTGAGAGGATTCTTCCAGTTTGTGAAGAGGTATATCAGGATGTTCGTCAGGAGTGTCGTGGAGAGAGCGTTGCATTGGGAAGACTGCAGACGACTACTGAGGAACTACTACACTCCAACACGCCAGGCAGAGGAGAGAAAGAGTATGGAAAAGAAAAGGAAGGAGCCTGAGGCTGAAGGCAGGAGGACTTTTGAGAGAGGTGTCTCGTCCAGATCTCAGGAGGATGAGAGAAGAAGGGAACATGCTTCCCACAGGATGGAGAGAGGAGAGGAGCTGCCGGCTAAGAGGAATCAGGAGAGGAGGGAGTCAGAGGTGCCTGAGACTCCTCCTCAGTCTATTCAGAGACCAGAGGATCAGGCTATGACAAAAACAGGACCAGAGGCACCCTGTGAGCTGACAAGACAGGGGATGGATGAGGACTAGGCTGCCAGACAGAAGGAATTGGACAGACAAGAAAGGGCCACCAGGGAACAGGAGATCAGAGCAGAAGTCAGGAGGAAGAACCTGGAGGAACTTCATAGGAAAGTGGAACAGGGAGAGCGGCCAGTGGACTTGAAAGACAGAAAGGGAAAGAGTGTGAGCAGCCAGCAGGAAGAAGACCCTCGTCTACTCTCTGAAGCATTGGAGAACTTTGATAGGTTGATGGGAGCTGCGAGAGGACCAGAGGGACCTCAACAAGAGATGGGGGTGAAGTTGGTCTTCGCAGACTTGCTCATATTGAAGGGAGTAATGAAGGAAGGATTTGTAGTCGCACGAGCATCAGATCAAAAGATTGTAGAGAGACTGACCAAGGTCGCACAGAAGGTCTATTGTCAGGGGGTGGAATGGGAGCAGGAGGTCAAAGAGTTGAAGAAGAACCAAGAGAGACAGGACCGCGAGCTGGACGCGATGAAGGTGGAACTGAAAAAGGTCTGGGTTGGCAATGAGGCGATCAGGCAGGTGAACCAGACCCTCGACAAGGTCAACGAGGCTCTGAGGGCCTACCTGCAGGCTCAACAGGCTTCCTTCTAGGCAAAGGAGGTAAAGTGGGAGAAGAGAATTAAGGAGCTGGAAGCGAAGCTCGAGCAGAGGGCTCCCACAACTTTGGTGGATTGGACTGAGGTCCAAGGATTTGAAATGAAGAGGTCACCTGCAGAGGAAGCCTTTAGAAGTCAGAAGGAGGAAGAAAAGGGCGATCTACAGGGAGGAGAAGATGTGCCCTTGCTGGATAAACAGATGTTGCAGCCTCAGAAGATGCACATGAAAGGGAAAGCCAAGAGTGAGGAGTTTGAGTGGCAGATGCCGTCCACTGTAACACTCCAGCAGGTTCGAAGGGGGCTGGATGTGACACAGCAGGCAGAGGTGGTGAGAGATGAGGGGGCACTGCCTATTGATCGGATGGTTGCTGAGGGGCAGATGATCCAGGGGAGCAAGGTTGAGGCTGAGCAGGGAATGGGCCAAGAGACCTGTGAGGACTCTACCATGCCTCAGGGTACGCCCTTGGTAGCAAATTTGGAGGAGGCATTGGGCTCGTGGGCCACAGGGTCTGGTTCAGCAGTGCGAGCGAGTGGGCCAGTGAGACAGACAGAGGAGATAGCAGCCTTCCCCACACCATCTGAGACTCCCCAGCAGGAGGTTACGAGCGAAGTTACGGCAGTTCCATCCTCAGTACTCTCGCAGGAAGAAGAGAAGACGACACAGAAGAAGCCTGGGAAGTGTTTCTACTGTAAGAAGGGCAAACACTTCTCTGATGATTGCCCCAAGTTCTATGAGGATGAGGCGAGAGGGTTTGTTACCAGAGTATCCACTGGGATTTGGAGGGATAGGAATGGTAATTTGGTTGAGAGGTCTTGTGATGGTGGTAGAATGCAGTTGTGCGGACAGATAGGTGAGGGGATGATTGACTAGGATTTGACATTAGGGTCCGGAAAGGTCTAAACCTTGGCATGAGTAAATATACCTCTGACTCTCTACTGGTAGGTGATTGTATATAGGAGGACACATAGAGGATTGGATCACACCCATGTATATCAGTAGTGAGGGCCATTATTGAGATGTTACCGTCAATACTACAGGACAGAGTGTACATTAGATAGAGTTTGAGTTCGACTATCTTTTTAAGACTATGTACGTTATGTGTTTGTGTATGAACTACGGTTTTTTTTTTTTTTTTTTTTTTTTTTTCTCCTTTCAGAGTAGGATGTGTGAGATCTTTGTGTGCAGTGTGAGTTGATACTTGGACATTCGGGACTTTGACCTGTTCGAGACACTTTTGACTTTTTTGTACTATACTTGGATTCTTCTTTGAGTGTAATAGGGGTCTTGCCTATTTTGCAAACCCCAGGCTCCTTGTGTACCTATGAGACTCAGACTTGATAGAGTTTTGTGGGGTTCACGCTCACATCAGTTGTGGACTTGCCCATGTATGCTTGAATTTTGTGGGATGTTTTTATGATGGCTTGATCTGCACTATTGTTTTTCGATACCTTGGACTACCTGTCATTGTTACAGGAAAAGTACTAAGTATAGTTAAGGGAGAATGCACATCACATGTGATAAAATTGTGTATTGAAACTGAGTAATGATGTTGAATGGAAGGCCACAACTGAAGGTTGTGTCCTTTTGTGTGCATTTGAAATTGTGAAAGGAACTCAATGGCCGATTGAGTCCTTCCTATGAATAAAATTGAAATTATGAGAGAGCACTCTAAGGAGATGCTGTGATGATAATGATGATGAAAAATTGTATGCATGCAAAGTCTGACAATGAAAGACCAGGAATTTTCGTGAGAATTATGGATGGAATTCTGGCAGTATGATGGAAACTTTGGAAAGGTGTCCCTATAAGACGTGTGACCTTGTCTGCCCTGATCAAAGCAAGAAAGACACGACCTTGTGGAAATATTTGTGGAATCGTGAGAAAGGCACTATCCCTCCACGTAGTCCCGTGGGCAGTTGGTATGTGATCCTTTGTGTATTATTGCGAAAAGAGAAGGCCAGACCACAAGCAGTCAGTCTAAGGGACATATTATGTGAGGCCAGGCTAAGGAGCTATACTTAGCATCGCTGGAACTGTAGAACCTAACTCCCAGCGAGGGCCGCTGGCCGGCGCAACCAGGCAGCGGGACCATGGCTCACCAAAGGTTAAGTCTCGAAAGGTCGGCCGCCTGGAGAGGTTTTAAGCCGGAGGGAAGGTCATTGGGGTCGATGAGGTCAAGAGTCGGGACCCTTCAGGGTGCCAAGGTAAGAGAAAATTTGCTTATCGTTGCGCAACCAACGAGGGCACTACCGCTAATATAACAACGCGGTGGGCCGTGGATCTGGCTCGATCAACCAGACTATGGTGGGCCAGGATGGAGACCTAGAAGCCGCCTGTGTTAGACTCCAGGTTGGGCGTTCATTATCAGTGGATTGGGGACTGAAGGTGCCCCGTGTTTTGAGGAGGTCTCGGTTAGGGCCCGCGTCCTAAGTTATGACCCTGCTTGCAGGACKATGACTAAACAGGACACCCAACGGTAAACCGGCAGATGTCTAAGGCAAAGGGAGAGGGCTATCAAGCTACTACCTGGGAGCGGACATTACGCTGTAGTACGGAACAAAGTATCCCCGGAGTCCGAGGCCAGGACGTGGGAGACCCAGGTTGAAACCCTGGCAGTGGAACACCGTGGACGGGGTAGGTTGATAAAGTACCTCGAACAGAGTTAAGCCGGCTAATCGGATTGGTCGACTTCCTTGTCAGCAGATGGAAATTGAATTGTTTATAGCTTTTAATCTGACCGACGCGACGGGGACGTCGCTTAATAGCGTCCGGAAAACTGTCGGCACCATTACCCTTACAAGGGTAAATGTGCGTGTTTTTGCACCTCGCAGAAGAGGCGATTGAGCCGATAAATGAAAGAATGGGGGGTTTGTCGCCAGCCGCGACTGACTACTGTATGTCAGAAGTGGCAGGCGTATGTATAGCTTGATTAGAGAGTGTGTGAGCACGCACTTTGCGGGCATGCGCGAGTTGTTTGACTACCGGGTAACTTAGGAGTTTAGACCGGACTGTGTGGGCCGCAGTCTCACGACCACTGATAAAGTCGTGGCCGACATAAGTGTAACTAGAAGGACTACGGCCAGGAAGGAGTCCTGGCTGACCCTCTGAAAGTCGACCTCTTTTTGGGTCGCATAGTGCGGGTCGCACAATATTGAGTTGACTGTGTGTCACAGGGGACCGGAGGTTGGACGAATGGATATGGATTGGTCTCGGTAAGGGCGGATGTCGGGCTTCTTCCAGTGGGACGGCGGTAAAAAGGCCGGCCACGGCGTGGCCAGGAAAGCCACACACTGCGGTTAATGGTACGCAAGACCGGCAAGTGCGGCAAGACACGCAAATGTCTGCCTCAAGGCGGTGTTGTACGATGCTGCAAAGCCATGGCTTGGGGGACATGCCTTGCTGTGGGCTTGGCATGCCTCCGCAGGCCTAAGAAATCTGCGGATATTGTTTATAGGTAAGTTTGCGCCTGCTACCATCAGGTTGGGGCTTAGCCCTATTGGTTACGGCGTTGGAGTTTCACCAGGCGGATCTCGTGATAAAGGCCAGCAAGGGGCAGTGAAGTAGCGGAGGAGCGTTTGAAGGGAACTAGGGGGTTGAGGGTCCTGCGGGACTATCCCTTTTAGTTTTGCTAGGGAAGTCCGACGTCGGGCCCGCTGGGATAGGACCGAGTGTCGGCGGTCCTCCTCCCTCCTTCGCCCTCTCTTCCCAAAATTTTCGAAGTCACGATTTTTTTTTATTTTTTATTTTTTTTTCCTAAAATTCTGATTTCATTTTATTTGTTGTTTTTTTATCCCACTATGGGACGTGGCCGGGACCGATCTGTGGACCGACGGTAATGCTCAGATCGACTTAGTAGGTACGCTCACGGACCATTCAGATACCACCAGGCTGTGGTATAGTCCTACGGGACATCTGTTAAAAAATTGGAACGATACAGAACAGGCTGACACGGTCCCTTCGTAGGAAGGACAAGTACAAAGCCGGGTCACCGCCCGTCACTGTTGCTGCTGTAGCACGAGGTAGATTGCCAAATGCTGTGCGACCTCTTGAAGGAGCTAATCGCAGGGTAGTGTGCCATGAGGAGTGTGAAATTGACAAAGGAAAGGGACATGGCGGAGCTGATGGGCGTTGCGCTGTGCAACTAAAAGTGCTGGCAGCATAGGTAACGAAGGGACGGCGGGGAGTCGGAGAGGAAGGGAGTTGGGAGGAAGAGAGAGGAGCTCACCTTCAGCAAGGCTATGGGCAGCCGGCTCATGCAAACAGCAGAAGGAGGTCATGTCCTACAGATGAACCACCTGGCTACAGCTAAGTAAGGAAAGCGGAATGAACCTGAACGCGGTTCTGCGCCAGATACATTTGGAGGATGAAGGGAAAAGTGACGTCGGGCTGGAGAGTATGGCGGAAAGAGAATCCGTAGCACGGCTATTTCCTAACGAGACTTGATGAGGGGAGTTGATAGTCTGTGGTTTTGAAGGCTGACGAACACGAATCTGCAGTCAGGGAAGGCAGAAGGTTAGTAGGAGGGGAAAAAGAAAGGAAAAATGGTGCGCGGAGATGCTGCGAAACAGTGATGGTAGGGGTGAAAGTAGACGGATCTCGGCCGTTTTTTTACCAAATTGAGCAAGGTAAGATGCTAGATAGGGGTTTTTAGGTATTCTGAGTCAGATGGACGCATCAGAACTTGAATCTGAACAGCGGTTTGGTCGGTAAAAGAGGAGGGGGCTGCGCCACCATGGCCGAGCCAGCCATCGAATTACTCCATTTTTTTTTTATTTTTTTTTATTTTTTTTCCTCTCCCTACCAAGGAATCATTGTCCTTTTGTTCGCCCATGGTATGATATCTACCCAAGCATAGGTTTCGTGTCCACCATCAGTACCAGTACATGCCCTTCATCCCCCTATGGGGATTGTTTTCTCCGTTTCCAAAGCAGTCGTCCTCATTGCTCGTCATACTCCCTTACGGGTCGTGTTGGGTTGTTATGGCTGAAATCCTTGAACCTGGCTACTATTACAGTCAGGCGTCGTGAACGGTGAGAGATATATCGGGTAGTGATCATGTTTCATATGGGTACTGACCAGAGGTGTGAAAATAATAATAATAATAAATGAATAATAGTAATGGTAACAAGTGTTGGACGGGGAGGTGACAAACTATGAGAGAGTTGAATAGGTAGGGGAGTATTAGAGGGGGATTGCATGTATCTAGACCCAAGCTTCGACAGCAGCCAACAAAGGGGTAGCTAGATCAAGCAGGAGTCTAACARACTAGAACTCTTGAGCCCGCTATTGCAGTACGGAGGGGATGGAATAGCTGCAATCTGATYTTAGTATTATTGGGGTTGCTGCCGCGACATGATTAAGACTCTCTAGGTTGCTGTTAAATACCGGCCACAGCAACAGCTATCCTGATATCTGGCTATTTGAGCAGCACCGTGAACAGCCAGTTGTGTTGCTATGTCACCAGTTGGGCTGCCATTATGAAAATCTGATTTTGGCTGTTGTAGAGCTAAGTATCACTAAAAGAAGTCATCATGCCCAGGCTACACTACTGTTATCATGCCCCAAGGACACAATGTTGTTACCCTCAAAGTTGTTGTTAGTATTGTCACTTTGCCTTGTTAATAAGTGCAGTTGTTGAGCACCACGGTGCGCTGCTGTTTCTGCTATAGCTTATGGGCTCCCTGTTGATTGGGACACAAACGTTTTGACTAAGGCGGAAGGCTGATACCCGCGGACGCAGGGAGTGCAGTTCCTCTTTTTATTTTTATTTTTTTTATTTTTTTATTTGCAGCAAAATACTGATGTTCAAGAAGTAAACTATCGTGATATCGTTGTACTATTTAGGCATGCAGGCACTTGAGTGCATCATGTCCCCGTGGAAGACTACTAGGTGAGGACTGAAACTTATATAAAAAGCAGGGGCGGTAGCTA